GTCTTTTTACTGACAGTGATATCACAATCACTCACTTCTTTTAGATTCCCTACATTACCTAGACGTTCTAAATGGAATACGAAGCCTTTTGTTGACTGATTATCTGTCAACTTACGAGTTGACACTAAAATCCTTGATTTCCAGACACTTTAAAGACCACCCCAGCAACTGCTGAGATAACCAATCACGTTCTTTCATTTTAAACATAACTACCTTCGCAGCTGAAATACCAAAATCTGATTGGTTATTTCATCAATTTGTAGTGTAGCCTTTAAGTCACCCTGGTTTCATACTGATAGGTTTAATTTACTCTTCTTTTAAGGAGGATGTAAACACATTATCGTCCATACATATTTGAATTCATCTCGTTTTCTTAACTGTTAATTACTGCTCAACTGTGATATCTCATGCAGTCCATGTTATAGCATCTGTCCTCACAAAATACTAGTTGTGAAATCCAACTTATCATCTAGGGACCAGAAAGTCTCTAGTGTTTGAGTTTCATTGAAAATAATCATACTTGGATGGAGTAACTATAAAGATCATCGTAGAAACGATAGAAATAGCCTGAGAAGGTAGATTTTCATAAAATAGAGCAGTCTGATTGGTTATTTTAGTTGTTGCTATGGCGGCCTTTAAAGTCAATCCTGGGATGTATTCGTATCTGAATGACAATTTACAAACGGAAGTAGAACATATATTCTGTTTCACTAGTTGTTATTACAAAAAGTAACGCCATATTACATACTTACTGATTGCTATTTCCGAAGGTGAATAATTCCTGTGAAATTCAGATTATCTTAGTAATAGAAATCCAATGTAAACTGAGTTATCTGTGTACATCAATGTTTACCACAACCTTTTCTTTTGTGTGCATGGGAAAGAAACGTCACACTGTTGATGATCTGCATCCAGTTTGAATAGAATAAATTCTTAAAACTGATTAATAATGTAATGAAAAGATTAAGAAATAAAAATGTAGCTTATCATATGATACTTGATATACACAATCGAATCCATCGATCTCTGTTGACAGAGATGTGCTCCAATTTAGATGTCTCGATACTATCAGGTTACTCATCCATGTTGTATAATCTGCTTGATTACTAACAATGGGATCCTGGATGATGGGACACGCCAGTTGAATGTACTTGCACTGCAATGAAATCTCAGTGGGAAAAGTGTAATTCAAATGATCTAGTTTATGGACGCGCATAAAAACTGATCGATGTCATGGTGATTTCCGTAGCAGATTGATATCAACAAGATATTTCCAGTAAATAATATCGTCTAACGTAAAAATTATATTCATTCGTTATTATTATTTGTCCTTTGAATGCCTAGTGGGACATAGGGCTTCAGTAGCACGTCTCCACTCCACTCCACTCTCTTCTCTGTAATCTTTTAAACCTGGTTCCACAACTGCACACAAGCTCTCATTTCATCCTCACACGATCTCCTCCATGTCACCCTCACCTCGGACACCCAACTCGTTTTTCCCATCTGGGTTCCACTCGAGGGACTAGCCTGGCCTGGCCTGACGCGTGATGTCCTCAGTCGGCCTTCTCAGTGTACGCCCAATCCAATCCAATCCAATCCATCTCCACTTCCTCCCACTGCATATTTGTTGAGCGAGTGATAGGTTGTTGGTTGGTTCGTTCCCAACCAGCCAGCCAGCCACACTTCCTTCTTGCTTATTCTCATTATTCTGGCAATCCATCTCATCTTCAGTGTCGAGCCAGTGTAGGTAGTTGTTGATGAATGTCTGTAGTTTATTGGAAATCCCTTTCGTAACACGCCAAGTCTCTCAACCATCACATAGAAGCACTGACTTGACTGAAGTTGGTGTTGAAAATCGGGATGTTGTTCCACATGCTGAGTGGAGTGCAGAAGATCTCCAGACTGATTTCAGGTTGATGAATGCCTGTCTTGCCGTGTTTCCAATGCTGGCTTTGACGTGGTGGTGTGTGCCACCTCCGCCTGTAGTTGAGAGGATGCTGCCCAGGTGGATAGGTGAAAGAGACTACTTCGTTTAGATTTCTCCCGTTGATGGTGATTGGAGCTTGTTGTTGTTGTTGTTGGTAGGGTGTCATCATTACCTCTGTCTTCTCTACGTTCACTTGAAGTTCCGTCTTCGCTCCACTGTCTCTTCTGTCAACTAGTTAGTTTTCGCCTGTAGATCTTCGAGTTTCTGCGACAAGACATTAGATGAATCATCATTGTTGGCGAAACCCAAATCTCCTAGACTCTTTTCCGCAGTTTAGTCAGCGTATCCCCCTCTTCTCACTCCTCACTGTTTGCTGCATGATCCAGTCGACCACAATCAGGAATATCATGAAGGATAGTAGGCAACCTTGTTTCACTCCTGTCTTCACTTTCGCTTCAAAAGCATCACTAAACTTCCCACTGTGAATCACTTGGCATGTGGCATCTTCATATAGTTGTTGAATGAGGCTGATAAAGGTTTGTGGTATTCCGTAGTGTTGAAGCAGCTGACTGCCAAATTACTTGTCGGTCGACGCTGTCAAAGGCCTTTTCAAAGTGGATGAAGTTGAGGTGGAGAGTTGACTGTACTGCCATTCTATACTCTGTTCTATGATGATGCGTGGTGTGGCGTTACAATTTGGTCCGCACATGATTTGTACTTCCTGAAGCCAGCCAGCCAGCCTGTTCCGGTTATAGTTTTGAATCCAGTGCATCCTTTAGTCTCTCCAGGATGATGCGGCCTAATATTTTGCTTGCTGTGGGTGGACATGGACAGGAGAGTGATTCCTCGCCAGTTCTTCCAATGACTTAGGTCTCTGTTCTTTGGGAGTTTGACAAGGTAGCTCCTCTTCCAATCGCTAGGTATCTTTTCTAACTTCCACACCTTCTGCAATAGTGGTGTGAACATGTCCGCTGTTGTCCCTCAGTCTGTTCTCAGTGCTTCTGGTGGGATTCAACCTGGTCCTGCCACTCTCCCACATTTCAGTAGCTTTATGGTGCTCAGAACTTCGACTTTTGTTTGGAGGATTTATGCTCACTTGTAGTTCTGTGGCTGGGCTGTATGTGGTATTTCTGGACGAGGTGCAGGTGGTGGTGGTGATGGTGGTCGCTTCAAGAGCTTCTTGAAATGGTCGACCCATCATTTCCTTTGTTTCTCTTCTTTCGTAATTATATTTCCTTCATCATCTTTTATTCGTTCCATCTACACTGTGTTGATCTCTTCCCTCCCACATAGTAAGTAACATGTTTATTTGATACAATGTTGTTAGGTCTCTGTCTCTCTCTCTCTCCTACCTGCAGCCTGTTCTGCTTCACTTGCAAGTGTTTCGTAGAAGTGTATTTTGTCTTTGCGTGCACTCTTCTTCACTTCTTTCTTTGTCCAGTGTAGTGTTTTATACATTGTACTCAGTTCCTCATGTCGTTGAGCATCCTTCCACTGCACTGGTTTATCTCCTCACTCACCATCACCATCTTCCTCTCCCTGCTCTATCAGCTCCCATGTGTCCGTCGAGATCCATCCCTTATCTTCTTTCCTCTTACTTCCTAATACGCTTGGTTATGCAGGTTTCTTTCCACATCTCTTTCAAAGACTTCCAGTGTTCATCCACACATGTTTCTTCAGGGATGTTGCTCGATATCTCCCATTTTGTCTTGATGGCTGGCTGACGTGGAGATGTCCTTTGTGATTTCGTCCTTCAGTTTCCATTTTGGGTGTTTACTTCAGCTGTGGTCTATCAGCAGCTTCCTTGAAGGCTTTCAATTTGATTTTGAATGTAGGTTCCTTGCACTAGATAGTGGTGTGAGTGGTGTGAACCTACATCTGCTCCCCTTCTTCATCTGAACTTGTGTCCAGTATGCTGGCTGCGTCTCCACTCTCTCCACATTGAGATGAAGTTGATCTGATTTTTAGTGTGTCCATCTGGTGTCTGGTGAGTGGTGAAATCCATGTCGCTCGCTTTGTGGATATCCTTGTACTTGAACACACTGCCTGACTCGAATCACCAAATCGTTGAATGCGCAGGGATCTGCAAACAATTCTGCGTTCTCATTGATCGTTTCACTGAGTGCATTTCGACCGATGATGAATGAGTTCTCTTCCTGTGTTGTTTGCTCCCAGTTTCGCATTTATGTCGGCTGTTATCATTTTGATGTCGGCGACTGGAATTATGTGTAGTACTGATTGCGGCTGTCTGTAGAGTTCCTCCTTCTTCTGTTGTTCTACATTATTTGTAGGTTGAGTTGAATCCATCTTGCTGTCATGATCATGCAGGAGGAGATTGTTTGCCACTGTATGAGAGCCTTTGATGTTCTTGGAGACATCATGATAGCCGCTTAATAACTCGGTATGCTGTGCTTGTGGTTGTCGTCTGGGTGACAATATCGGAGTAGATTATTGTCTCCAGTTGACAGTTTGGACAGTCTACTTCCATTCCGCCTGCTTTCGCAAATTCCAGGCTGTTCAGTGCTATACCTTCTCACCTCGTTTGCAATCTGGACAGCCTTACTAGGTTCAAACATGGTCCCCAATCTTACTTTCGCTTTCATCGAGGGAGAGAAGACACGTTGGCCGACTGGCTTCCCGAAGGCTGGCTTTCACCGACCGGCGTCATTTCGCCTCTTCGATTTTAGCAAGGAATAAGTTTTTTTTAAATATTTTGTTTGTGCTTTGAATTTTTTAGCGGTTAGATTCGTTTTCAGGGGTAGGGTTGCTAGCCGTATGCTCGATTTTCCCTCTTTGTCGGGGCTTAGGACCGGCTAGTCACTAATGTACTAGTTAACTGGGCGAGGTTTTATCGTGATTTGAGAGACCAGTTTGAACTGATAATCTCTTTAGCCTAGTATGTTTACATGAAACATACAATGGCGACTAAAAATGTAACCGTTTAATAAATTGTATTTTTTCTTTATGGAATTTCATACTTTAGTTATAGCTGTGTGTGTGTACATTTATTTTCAAATGTACTGCAAGCCAATTCAATTTACTATTAATTTCTTGAATGCAATTGGTCTTGTTTCACAACTTGATCACATAGACACATAACCACTTTTGTAATCTTAAGTGACTGTTGAATTCACGACTGTCTAAACCGTATTTGTCAAGTTTTACGTTACAACTGGGGAAAGAAAACGAGACCCTGCGTACTGGACCCTAATGAACTTCCTCTTATTGTTGAGTGATATCCTCTCTTATGTATAAGATTTTTAATAGATCAGCGCCAATCTTGTAAGTTTATTGTATGTAGCTGGAGAGCACTATCTCATACAACAAGAAAGAGCCTGTCGATTTTATGTGCCTTCACCCCCTTTTTAATGTGCTTTTTTCTTTGGAAGACTGTCATCCTTCTGTTGATTGTATTCACCTGAATAGACTTGATTTAAATCAATACTTACTTGCTCTCTCTGAAAACAAACTTCTGGCTTGTTCATATTTTATCGTCTTGACAGTGTACATCGAAATCGATCACAACTGCATACTTATGTGCTATCTGAATCCAATCTGTATAGCAGGAGTCTCAGGGAGATACCAAGGACATTGGTCATTTCATCTGAACTGCTCCATGGAAAATTTATACACCTTTTGTGTCAACGAAGATTGAAATCAATAGATATGATCTGTGACCACATCATACGTCAACTAGTTGTACAAGTTGGTTACTATTGCAATACTTTTAACTGAAAGATGTAGTATGACCACTTAGCTGTATATTAAATGTTTGACAAAGTTATGCAGAAAACTGGGAACACACATTTTATGCCCAAAGATGCTGCTGTATCCTGTAAAACTTCAGAATTGCTAGTTTCAGTATATCCGTACTTAAAACCACCGATGAAATGAGTTGAAACGATCTATGCTCTGGAAATCCTATAGATGATATTTCCCCCTATTTAATTCAGTGGTTTATAAACCAATTCAATTTTCTTGAAATTCCCAGCATCCATAATTCAATGGATTGAAACTCAAGCATTCACATAGTAGTTGTAAATTTCCTTCACTGTCCTGATAACTTTGTACTCATTCTATGTTGCCAGTTATTCAGACAAGTTTTCTACTTACAAAAAATTTATTCTTATTTCATTTTTTTCTCTCCATCAATATTATTTTGCTAAATAAATACTTAGTGCTGCGCTAGTCTGCAAACAAAGGCCAAGAAGTGATCTGACAGGCTGTTTCACATCAGGCCATGACCTTGAAATTATTGAATAACCTTGAAGCTAGCGCTAGATAACAAATAGACCAATCACGAAATTTTATCGATCAGTTAAGCTAGCTAGGGTTATTTGTCCGCCCTACTCTTACAATTGTTATTGTTTCTTGTCCTAGTCGGCCGTATATTGCCAGTTGTTTGGAGTTTTTCAGTATAATCTTGGAATTACGACATTGTTTGATTATTTTCCTTTTATTAAGAAGGGTAGAATGAAAATATCATTCTTGATGTACACACCGCCTACAACATGAAAAAGTCGCGATTTTTATGGATTCGTGATTTGCCTGCAAAATGTAGAGATACAGACCTACGTAGTGTTCTTGAAAGGTGAGTATTGTTGTTGGTTGTAACCTTATCGTTGATGGATTCTCCTCGAGTTTTTTTTTCAAACTTCTCTTATTATGTTTTATAAACTAAAGAAAAACTTTCTGTTTCATACTTCAGGCATGGTTCAATTCAGAAGATCCGATTATTCAAAGAAGGTCATATGCGTCATGCTGTTGTTACCTTTGTGGATATTAAGTCAGCAACAGCAGTCATCAATACGGAGAATAAAATTAATGATACCTTACTAAAAGTGGAATATTGTGATTCAGCTGACATTACAGGCGGAATTATAAATCATAAAAGTAATAACAGTACTTCACATCGTAACTCTGAGATCTCGAATCAAATACCAGCATCACTTAGTAGTCAAAACAATAACACCAATTTGGATCATAAAACAGAAAAGTAAGTCCATTATTGTCGTTAAAGTTGTTCATTTGTTGTCATTGTAAGTATTCTGTTCTCCGGTGTCTATACTATTTTCGTTTTATTGTACAACCCCGTAGTATTTTCTTATCTCCTCGTAGGGACTCCACCCAGCAGGTTTTTTGTCACTGACCCCCCTCCCACATTGTATAATGATTGCATAACTTTCTCACTGTATCCTCATTTTGGTGATACTAGCTGGTGGTTATCTAAGTTTGTCACCATACCTCCTGTTTATCATTAATATTCGTTAATGTCGACTAGCCTCAAAAAAGTGTAGTCTCCTGTCATATTCTATTTGGACTAGATTTACTCCTAGAGTTTTGCAATTTTCTCTCCTTTTTTATCAGTTGTCTTAACGTAGATGGTTGTCGATTTGTTAATTTTAGATTTTTTAGCATTTCTAGGTCTCAGTATTTCATTTTCATACTAAACATATCTTAATGTTTATTTATCAGCAAGCTATTGCTGCTAGTTATCCTGAAAAATACTTTTCAGGTGGTTGTATTCGTAGCGTCTTTGACGACAGACATTTCATAATCTTATTCTTCTCAAGATTTACGCTCATACAAAAGTTTGTCTGAAAATTCTATTAGCGTTTATCTTATTAAAAAAGGATGCAGTGTTTTACTAGTCTTACTGAGTTGAATTTCTTGCAAGTTGCTTATCTATAGTTTTACTGGTAAAATAAGTATGCCATATCATATCGTTCAAACAACTAGTGATGAGTATATCATGTCTTTGGTGTTAGTTAGCTTATCGACTGGCTGGTGAAGAATCGACTATATCGACAAAATGTACTGAAGCCTGGTCAACTGCTTAACTCACAAACCAACCGCTTAACTCTACTCATTCTGTATTTGTTTTAATACTAACACCATGTTTAATCTACTTGGTGTTGTGTATTTTGAACTATATGGAAGTAAGTTTTACGTATGGAGATGTGGCTCAGTGGTTTAGGCAGTGACTATCAACCAGTGGAAGACCGGTTCCGACCCCACTCCACCTACCGAGGTTCGGTTAGCCAGGCAGTATCATTAGCCGTCACATAACAGCAGGTGTAGCTCATTGCCTGCGGCACGGATGTGCACAAGGTGCCTGAGTGCCTTTCGCTTCACGCACGAGTGAACAAACATATGTTTTATCACTGGTAGTTGTTAGGTATCTGTAGCTCATTATAAACAAGTTATTCCTTCCGTTATGTAGTTCATTACCGATTAAATTGAATATTTTACTGCATGGATTTCCCGAATGTGATCTTTCACTTATACTATACTTCGTAGTCACGTCTTTTGCGAATGTTATTATTACTCTTATGTCTTGGGACTTGATCATGTCTTGTTTTGTATGATAAAGTGCAGAGTAAGGATATACCTTCATATATGGTCGGTATTCCGCTATTGCCCATTGCTGTTGATATTGAATAAGTTTGACCTGAATCGAGAGTGCATTTTAAACAAGTGAACAACTATGCAGTCCCCTATATTTATTGGTTGGGCGAATTCTTTCCGGTAAATGTACTTGTAGATCAGTTGTACTCACCGCTTTTCATGTCTATCATGATACATTTTATCGACCGAATTTATTGTAGTGAGTCGACTATATCTATGCGTTTTTGTGCTGGACTCTTACATTGTTCCACTAGTCTTTCATGATTTATTGTATTCTCATCTCTCTTTATTTTCATGGCACTAGTTTTTATTGTTATCTTTGTGGTGAACTACTGGGAATAGCTGTTCAGCATTTGTGTAACCTGAAGTTGCTTTTGAATAACTTGTCCCATCATTTCAGTTTTTAGCAAAGCCTAATTAAATCCGAAATTCTGGTTTATTCTTCCCGTTGACATCTAGTCGATAAAAGTATCCTACGAGGATAGAATTCTTAGGTATTGTCATTTGATGCTGTATCCTTGGAGTATTATGCCCAATCGGTGTAGATTAATTAGTGTACTAATTTCCTTCATCACACAACTGAAATTCTGTACCACTTATAGTTACGTTCTCTAGTCATCTGAACATTAGGTGACACATACTTCTCAGACATGATATTCTTCTTTTTTCAACCCTTTAATTTTGTCTTCCGTTGTGCCGTTGCAAAATGTACCACTTTTGGATCGATGCTATTTTGTGCCACACTACGCAATTATCCCGTTAGTGTGATTACCAATGAACCTAACCGATAAGAAATACCTTATTATCATTACTCACCAACGCTTGTTTTTACACTGAACCTAGTAGCGACACTAATCTCGATTTTTGCATTTAGGTGTCTTTATGAGGAATACTTGCCATACACTCATCTGACAAAAACAGATCGCTAACCCCGTTTCTAGGACAGACGTTCAGATCACGACTTCACTAGTTGTTAATTAATTAGTAGTCGCAATAAACAGTCGCGTATCAAATGTATTGTCTCCCCCCTTAATCTTAAATAATCAAGACTTTCTTATTCATTTGATCTTCAGTATACGATGAATAAATGTACTTAGTTTTTAGCTGTAAATGCCTCTCTTAATATTAAAATACTGTATGGAGTCATTTTCTATTCTGTTCGCCCTTGTATGCTAACTGATCGACTAAAATAAACTACTGGTTCTTACTACCATATTTTTAAAAAAATATCTACATGATATTATCCACCAATTTTACAACCATTTTTCGGTTAAAAATATATAGCAAATGGTTCAGATTTTTATACAATGTATTTTCATTACTTCCAGTAACCTTAGTTATTATTGTTAACTGCGCCAACTTAGATTTTCGCCTTGAAAATGTTCATATACGAACAAGTGGCCTGAGAATATGAGTTCGTTTCAAACAGTCCCCGTTGCTGGCATTCTTGATTACTTCATATCGTCATTCTTATTCACCAGAAAGGAAAACATTTCATGATAGGTATTTACAAATGGGTAGATGTATATATAGTTTCCTTGGTCATAATTTATGCTGTAACACTAGGCTCTACGTATCAGGTTCACTGGATACCGCTTGTTCATTTGTATCAGACTTTCGTTACTCAGCCGGGGTTTTTTTGAAGCAGTTAGTTCTGATAAAGTTGCAGAATTGAATGACAGCTTTTTTAGTTGGTTAGAAAAATTCAACGAGCAACTACTATCTTCATTCTTAGTTACAAACCCTTTATTGCCAAAAATCTGTGATTAATCTATTTACGTTGGTTATGTACAAAGTACACCTTTTAATTTGGATTTTTTAAAAAGCTATTTGACCCTCTTTAGAAATTGTTATTCCTACTGATAAATTCTTGTCATGTAATTAATGTACTCAGTTGATAATAATCAACGTAAGCGTTTGACGTTCATAATTCAAAAGATCAATATTTCAGTCCAATGTAGGTGGTGGTGAAATTTCTCTAGTAAATAAATCTACCCTTCAACCGAGTTTAGTTGTCTCACAATAGGGAAAATTTGTAACATTGGACATCTCCGTTTTTCAATGATTCAGGGAATAAGATATTCAAGTGGGGATTTTTAGTAGGTTTTGAATATTAGCAATGCGAAACTTGCACTTCAGTAAGCTACGGGACTCCAGCGTAACTATGTATGGTATTATTATGTGTTTATACTTAAGCAAAAAAAACAACTCCAGCTCTTAGTTCATGTCGATCTATCGAAATCCCTTCAAGTGATAAACCGTCGTGGTCTAACGTGTATTGTCACTTCAGTTAATAGTAGTCTCATTATGCAATCCAGTTAAACTGTATATTTCAATGTGTTTACAAACTGTTATGTAGTTTGCAGTTGGTTAGGCTGCTATTTATTGAGTATAAAAGGAGGGTTGTCGTAAGGATAATCTTTTACTTGCAAACATCGATTTGGTTCTTTTCACAGACCCTCAGGTATGTTTGGTAACTGGAGATTATGTTGTTACTTGTATTATCCCGTAGCACAAGAAATAACTATCGTAACTCTGTGAGCTAGTGGATAACGCTCTGGAGTTTGAACCGACCGGTCCCGATTTCTAGTTTTGGTGGGAACAACATCCTTCACTGGGACGCAGGTACATCCAGCTGACAAGTCCCAAATAAAAGGAAACGCGTTCTGAATCCCACTGCTAGCCACTAGTCACCAAATTGTAAGTTCTTTTTTACGTGACCATATATTCACCTAAGATCTGTACTTTTACAGCATCAAAAGTCTGTCCAAAGTAGGCCTACCTCATATACGTGTCTATCAGTATTTCAAAAAATAAAGCCTATCTTTGCACTCATTGCGGATGTATTTGGTAAATTTGGAGAAAGTAGGTTCTGAACTTTAATTCTCATGTAAAAGCATATAAACTGATAAGGTATTCATATGAATTGCATGATTAGAAATCCGCTCTCTTTTCGTATTTGCCCCCGGTTGCTCTAAGAGTCGATTTCTTAATTTTGATTCAGTACATACTGTAAATGCTTTCCTTTGGGTTTCTCTAGTTGTATTTACTGTTCAATCTTCACTGTGCTGTTTCTAAGTGAAGCGAATTTAACGCGTACACTTTTTTCGGGGTTCTATATTGGTCTACTTGGTCAATTGGTGATATCCATGATTTCATGTGAACAACCTATGACTCAACTATCAGCATTATTATATTGTTTCCGTGCGGATCAGAAGTTTTTGTGTTTTCAAACCCTTGCATTATACATCATCAGTTTGTGCAACTATATATTTGAAGAAGTTGCTTTTCCGCACTAAAAATGTGTGAAACGAGTAGCTTCAAGTGAATTAAATGTATTTTCTATGTTGCCTCAAATAAGCTATTTCCATAATCTTTATATTCACCTGCTTGATACTAGTAATCTTGAGGCGGCTACCTGTTGATTAGCTCAAAGTAATGGGTAGTAATCAGTAAAGACAGCGAATATATTTATGAAGAAGCAGTCATTACGTTGGCCTGGAAGTGGTCATTATTTTGAGCCTAATTATTCCTTTATCCCCTGTTTTCATTTTAGTTAGGGCTAATATTGTATTCCTATTATTAATC